TTTTTTTTTTTGGGCGAAAAATTAAGTTTCTCCAATCTTCCAAACTCTGGACTGATAGAGGGCATGAGACTTAGACCTGAGTGCAAAAATGGAGGCTCTAAGCCTCCCAGAGCTGAGATATCGAACTAAAAATTCGGCCCGAAAAAAAAAACGACAGTGGTACCCCTTACGTTTTTTTTTTGGGGGCGAAAAATTAAGTTTCTCCAATCTTCCCCAAATGGATTCTGATAGAGGGCCATGAGACTTAGACCTGAGTGCAAAAATTGGGCTCTAGCCCCTTCCAGAGCTGAGATATCGAAACTCAAAATTCGGCCCGAAAAAAAAAACGACAGTGGTACTTACGTTTTTTTTTTTTTTTGGCGAAAAATTAAGTTTCTCCAATCTTCCCAAAACTCTGGATTCTGATAGAGGGCCATGAGACTTAGACCTGAGTGCAAAAATGGAGGCTCTAGCCCTTCCAGAGCTGAGATATCGAAACTCAAAAATTCGGCCCGAAAAAAAAAACGACAGTGGTACCCCTTACGTTTTTTTTTTTTGGGGGGTGAAAAATAAGTTTCTCCAATCTTCAAAACTCTGGATTCTGATAGAGGGCCATGAGACTTAGACCTGAGTGCAAAAATGGAGGCTCTAGCCTTCCAGAGCTGAGATATCGAAAACTCAAAAATTCGGCCCGAAAAAAAAACGACAGTGGGTACCCCTTACGTTTTTTTTTTGGGGCGAAAAATTAAGTTTCTCCAATCTTCCAAACTCTGGATTCTGATAGAGGGCCATGAGACTTAGACCTGAGTGCAAAAATGGAGGCTCTAGCCCCTTCCAGAGCTGAGATATCGAAACTCAAAAATTGGGCCCGAAAAAAAACGACAGTGGTACCCCTTACGTTTTTTTTTTTGGCGAAAAATTAAGTTTCTCCAATCTTCCAAAACTCTGGATTCTGATAGAGGGCCATGAGACTTAGACCTGAGTGCAAAAATGGAGGCTCTAGCCCTTCCAGAGCTGAGATATCGAAACTCAAAAATTGGGCCCGAAAAAAAAACGACAGTGGTACCCCTTACGTTTTTTTTTTTGGGCGAAAAATTAAGTTTCTCCAATCTTCCCAAAACTCTGGATTCTGATAGAGGGCCATGAGACTTAGACCTGAGTGCAAAAATGGAGGCTCTAGCCCCTTCCAGAGCTGAGATATCGAAACTCAAAAATTCGGCCCGAAAAAAAAACGACAGTGGTACCCCTTACGTTTTTTTTTTTGGGCGAAAAATTAAGTTTCTCCAATCTTCCCAAAACTCTGGATTCTGATAGAGGGCCATGAGACTTAGACCTGAGTGCAAAAATGGACGCTCTAGGCCCTTCCAGAGCTGAGATATCGAAACTCAAAAATTGGGCCCGAAAAAAAAACGACAGTGGTACCCCTTACGTTTTTTTTTTGGGCGAAAAATTAAGTTTCTCCAATCTTCCCAAAACTCTGGATTCTGATAGAGGGCCATGAGACTTAGACCTGAGTGCAAAAATGGAGGCTCTAGCCCCTTCCAGAGCTGAGATATCGAAACTCAAAAATTCGGCCCGAAAAAAAAACGACAGTGGTACCCCTTACGTTTTTTTTTTTTGGGCGAAAAATTAAGTTTCTCCAATCTTCCAAAACTCTGGATTCTGATAGAGGGCCATGAGACTTAGACCTGAGTGCAAAAATGGAGGCTCTAGCCCCTTCCAGAGCTGAGATATCGAAACTCAAAAATTGGCCCGAAAAAAAAAACGACAGTGGTACCCCTTACGTTTTTTTTTTGGGCGAAAAATTAAGTTTCTCCAATCTTCCCAAAACTCTGGATTCTGATAGAGGGCCATGAGACTTAGACCTGAGTGCAAAAATGGAGGCTCTAGCCCCTTCCAGAGCTGAGATATCGAAACTCAAAAATTCGGCCCGAAAAAAAAACGACAGTGGTACCCCTTACGTTTTTTTTTTTGGGCGAAAAATTAAGTTTCTCCAATCTTCCCAAAACTCTGGATTCTGATAGAGGGCCATGAGACTTAGACCTGAGTGCAAAAATGGAGGCTCTAGCCCCTTCCAGAGCTGAGATATCGAAACTCAAAAATTCGGCCCGAAAAAAAAACGACAGTGGTACCCCTTACGTTTTTTTTTTTGGGCGAAAAATTAAGTTTCTCCAATCTTCCCAAAACTCTGGATTCTGATAGAGGGCCATGAGACTTAGACCTGAGTGCAAAAATGGAGGCTCTAGCCCCTTCCAGAGCTGAGATATCGAAACTCAAAAATTGGCCCGAAAAAAAAACGACAGTGGTACCCCTTACGTTTTTTTTTTTTGGGCGAAAATTAAGTTTCTCCAATCTTCCCAAAACTCTGGATTCTGATAGAGGGCCATGAGACTTAGACCTGAGTGCAAAAATGGAGGCTCTAGCCCCTTCCAGAGCTGAGATATCGAAACTCAAAAATTGGCCCGAAAAAAAAACGACAGTGGTACCCCTTACGTTTTTTTTTTGGGGCGAAAAATTAAGTTTCTCCAATCTTCCCAAAACTCTGGATTCTGATAGAGGGCCATGAGACTTAGACCTGAGTGCAAAAATGGAGGCTCTAGCCCCTTCCAGAGCTGAGATATCGAAACTCAAAAATTCGGCCCGAAAAAAAAACGACAGTGGTACCCCTTACGTTTTTTTTTTTTGGGGCGAAAAATTAAGTTTCTCCAATCTTCCCAAACTCTGGATTCTGATAGAGGGCCATGAGACTTAGACCTGAGTGCAAAAATGGAGGCTCTAGCCCCTTCCAGAGCTGAGATATCGAAACTCAAAAATTCGGCCCGAAAAAAAAAACGACAGTGGTACCCCTTACGTTTTTTTTTTGGGGAAAAATTAAGTTTCTCCAATCTTCCCAAAACTCTGGATTCTGATAGAGGGCCATGAGACTTAGACCTGAGTGCAAAAATGGAGGCTCTAGCCCCTTCCAGAGCTGAGATATCGAAACTCAAAAATTGGGCCCGAAAAAAAAACGACAGTGGTACCCCTTACGTTTTTTTTTTTTGGGGGAAAAATTAAGT